CGCGCCACAAAGCTCTGGCAGCAGAGGGCGCACTTGTAGCCCCGCTCCGAGGTGCGGTACCGCTGGTGGCGCAGCAGGCCCGGCTGCGTGTTGAACGAGCGGCCGCAGATCTCGCAGCGGAACCGGGGAGGCGGCTGGGGCGGTGCCGCCTGGGGGTGGCTTGAGTTTGGACCTCCGGCTCCGTTCTCTGCCGGTCTTGGGGCCTCCGGCTGCGCCGCAGGGGCGTCCTGCGTCTGTGTGGACCGGGAGGTCCGGCCCGTGCCGGGCGACTGCCCCCAGGCTTGGGCGTCTGACTTCGAGGAGGCGCCGAACGCGTAGCCGCCGAACTCCACCGGAGACTCGACCACCCTCAGCGTCCCGTTCTCCTGCAGGGCGAACTGCACGGGGGCGCCGTACCCCGTGGCCGAGCTGTACTCGGGGTTCCCCGGCGCGGGGTACCCGTAGGCGCCGTACTGCAGGGCGCTCGCGGGCTCCTGGGGTCCGTGCATGGCCATGTGGCTCTGCAGGTCGGGGTAGTGGGCGAAGCCTTCGCCGCATTCGGTGCAGATGAAGGCGCCCCCCGCAGGCTCAGAGCAGCTGGCGTAGTCCAGCAGCGCCTGTGAGGGGTAGACGCCGGGGTAGCCGTTGATGTTGAGGGGGTAGTCCATGACGTCGGGCCGCGGCTGTCAGCGCAGTCTCATCGGAGGCTGCCCCCCCTTGCGGGCTTCAGAGGACGACAGAGATCCCAGGACCGTGGCACTTTCTGAAACCACGGACCCCACTGCCAGGGATCAGGACTGAACCCGCCAGGCAAGCAGCTCAGGGAAGGACGCAAGACTCGTACCCTGATCCGAACGCCCGGCCTCCGTCCCGTCTGCTCCCGAGTCCGCCCCCCGGGGCTCCCCTCCCCTCCCTTGTCCCCCCACTTCCCTGCAGCCCCGCCTGTGAGACGAACGCGATGCCTCTGGGTCCGTGCCTGGGCAGCGGCCGGTATTGACAGCGGACGCCTCTGCTCTGGAAAGCCACCAGCCTGGATGCCCAGCTATCCGAGGAAAGCTCCGAAGAGCAGGAGCAACATCGGAAACGGACCAAATCGCGTTTCTCTTCTCTGGGCGCGCTTAGCTTACTGATCCCGGACTGACGTCCCAGCTGCTGGGCATGACAACATTCCAGGGAAGCACTTTGTTCCCGCGGGAAAGGGCTCAGAAAGAGAACTGAAGACAGGTTTTCCAATTTTTCCTTGAGCAGAGTTCCAGAAGGCTCCCAGTTTAGTTCCAGTGTGCTTCCTAGTTCCCGTGGTTACGGACGGCTAGGCGAGAATCCTCCGCTTTCCCGTCACTGATCCGGTCAGTCCCTTTCACCCCGGACCTGCGGGTCAGCCCCTGGGGTAGAAGGAATATGGGGGGAAAAGAAAGCTTAAAATCATGCAGCCCTTTACTGATCAAATTCATGAAAAGAAAATCACGAAAAACTAAACAAATCTGAAAAGAAATTTGCACCGATTATATCACATCAGAACTCTAATAAGAATACTTGTAAATACATGAATACTGTACATGGATAGCCCCTATTGTAACAGGACTGTAGCTCCTAGTGTAACAGACTGGTCTACTGGACTGGGACTGTAGCTCCTAGTGTAACTGGACTGTTCTACTGGACTGGGACTGTAGCTCCTAGTGTAACAGACTGGTCTACTGTACTGGGACTGTAGCTCTCAGTGTAACAGACTGGTCTACTGGACTGTTACAGTGTTATGTATTTAGCACCGGTGATTTGTTAGCTCTGCGCTGTGTCATACATGTATTTCGCTTTATATTTAACTAAGTTTTTAATACATATAAGAGGAGCCGCTACCGTGGGCGCAATAGAAAAGCCCGCTAAGAAACACGCTGCAGTCTCACAACCAAGGCAGTACAGTTTAAGATACACACGCAACACACGACGCCTCTAATAACATACAGAAAAAATGCATACAGAATCATGCAAAAACAGCAGACAGCCGTACAGTACCGCAGCACCGAGGGCCTTCTTTGTACCGAGCCGCTGAGAGACCTTCCCTTCCACTCTCGCTTCCAGATCCGTCCCGGGGCACAAAGCAACACTCCCTCCAATTCTTCCAGCTATTTTAGTTCATTTCCCTTCGCCCTGAATCGGTTATCGGTGCGGAAAACCATTTGAGGGACCGTGCAGAAAAGCGAAGCAGAAAACAAACAAGGAAAGCCAAGCAGGAAAGTGGAGAAAACGTCTGAAAAAAAAAATAAAAGGAAAAATATGCAAATATGCGGGGGGTTGCGGCGCGTACTGATGACGTACCAGCGAGCGAGGCGGCCGTATTCTTAAAAAAGACGAGTTCGGAATGAAAACACATATACAGAGAGGCCATTAGTGTTACATCACGGGACACGCTGTGGGTCCGCAGTGTTTTCCAGGGAAACGGGGAAAATGGAAAACTCCGATTAAACAGGCGCCGGCGGTGTGGAAAAGGGTCCGAATTTCTCCGAGACCCCCAAGTCACCTGCGACTGTTGCTATGGCGACCGGCGGGCGCGGTCTATTGCCGGTATCGACCCTGCCTGAAACTAATTCTGTTTTTGTTATTTCAAACATATATTAGACACCAAATAATACCAAAAAGGGACAAAGGGTATCCAAAAAAGACTCAAAAACATGCTCACTGTGACTTTTTCAGGAGGTCCAATGGAGGAGTACAGCGCAGGTGAACCCAACCCCCCTCACACCTGTATGCCCAGTAACGGTCTTTGGGGTTACTGCCTCCTCCCTCAGAGCAAGACAGTGCAGGGTTCAACAGGCCCTGACCCTCAGACTGCCCCCCGCAGGGAGTGTTAGAAAGCAAGCCAGCAGGTAAAGGCAGTGGCTGGGCGTGGTCATGAAGGTGATGTTAGTGGCGTGGCCCTCCAGGTACAGTGTGGAGGGCGTGGTGATAGTGAGGTCGGGCATGGCCACATACAGGCAGTGGGGTAGCTGGGTTTATTCAGAGACAGTGGTGTGGGAGAGACACACAGGGGTATAGCCTCAAATAATGTGACATTTTTTTACGAGTTGTGCATTGTATCCAGTTGTGCATTGAAACTGTCCAGATTCGGTGTAAATACCAGTAAACCCTGTTATTACTCTTGTTCTGCTGGTAACTCATCTACTGCTTTTGCTTTGAACGATGCACACATGTCTGAAGCCGGTTTTGCAGATAAAACTCCCAGTAAAGTCATTTTCCCTTCGAACACCACAGTGTCAGGTGCACTGCAGCGCTCATTTTCAATAATATAAGATCACTTTATTGGTCATATACAATTTCTTGTATTAGGAATTTGTCTTTTCACAGACCCCAGCTTGCTCCCCATGAGGCACACAGACAGGGAGAGAAGCTGGGGGTCAGAGTGCAGGGTCAGCCATTTATATGGCACCCCTGGAGCAGCTGGGGTTAAGGGGCCTTGCTCAGAGGCCCAACAGAGTAGGATTGCTCTGCCTGCCACAAGATTTGAACCGGCAACCTTCCGGCCACAGGCACAGATCCTGAGCCACAGAGCCACCGCTCTGCCCCTTTAAAAAAAATAAATAATAGTTTCTGAAAACAAAATTGCTTAAGTCTGGCTCTTGATCTTTTACATTTAGATGTTTGTCAGAACTAATAGCAATCAATAATGCCCGTTTCATCTTCCACTTGTGTGCCTGCTTTCCCATAAGTCTACACGACTTCTCTACATACAAAGATCTACAACTCTATGGTGTTTCTGCATGACGTCATCAAATGCCGACTGGTTTGTTGTCTGTAATAAAAAGATGCCTTGTTAAATGGTATTTTATTTGTTAGTGCTGTGTAGTTTTGTACAGACAACTATGATTAATTTTATAGCCACCTAAACGTCGTCTGCTTTGCACAGAGATCCTTTTACAGTGAGCTAAGGAGATTGCACAAAACGAGATGGAGAATTATACATTTATGCAAAAATCTTGAGTTTCATAATTGAATCGGTTTATTTGTAATTGGTACCCGTGAGCTTCTGCGAGTCTTTCAGAGGCGATACAGGAGTAGGGAGACCACACCGGCCGACACTTCGGTCTCAGGTACGCTAGTTACAGGTGGATTCCTAATTAGGAAACGGTTAGTTAGAACGGATTTTTTTTGTTTATTTTTTTTAATAATGTTTATTATTAGGACGTAAAAAAGTTAATGAAATGCATGTGCATTATTATTATTACTGTTAATGTATTGTGTTAGAATAACAAAAAAATAAGTGTGCTTCACTTATATGATACTTTTACTGAAAGCGAATTATGGAGACAATGACAATGATCTGATTCACAGACGCCTCTGGGTGTTTACGTGATGCTTGAGCGCTCCAGACCGCGTCAGCAGCTGTGCTGACCTGGGGGCGGGGCAGCTGTGCGGCTCGGATCTCCTTACCGGAAGGTTGTGGGTTCGAATCCCAGCCGGGACACTGCTACCTTTGAGCACAGCTCATCCGAACTGGTCCAGTACATTACTCAGCTTTTGAAATCGTTGTAAATGTCGGTTATTTTAAATAAAGGCATCTGGAGTAATATTAATCTTATTAATAATAAGGAACAAGTAATAGGTGTATTCCCTGCTGAAAAAAAGAAGAAAGAAAACAGAACGTTTCGGCTGTGGAGCCTTCTTCAGGTGTGAGAGGTGTCAGAGGTGTCTCACACCTGAAGAAGGCTCCACGGCCGAAACGTTCTGTTTTCTTTCTTCTTTTTTTCAGCAGGGAATACACCTATTACTTGTTCCTTTGCAGCCTACGCGTGCTGACGCAGCTCCCCACCTGAATTATTAATAATAAACAGACCCCATTGCCAGACTGGCTTCCTGTGACCTGTCACCCCAGCACTGGGTCTCCTCTGTGGACAGATACCTAGCTTTGAGCTTTAAAATGATTGTTTTTATATGATTTTTTGAACTAGTGTAGAATACTGTAAATTTGAAAGTCTCTTTTTACAGTATACCATTCCGAAAAGCATCAGTTTAAAATGTTTAAAAATTCTATCTGTCTCACTGGCTGCAAAGGCATCAGTGCTCATTCCAGGCTGTACAGGCAGAGAGACAGGTAAAGAGTTACTGATCCGGGCTCCCTGCAATACGAGCTTTCTCTGGGGCCATTCTCAAGGCAGTACAATAGACCGCAAACTCATGCACAACTCAGTTAGGAAATCGAAATCTGAGGATTTTGTTGTTTCCCTAAGAATTTTATATTACTGTTTCCATAAGGCTTCCATTGAACACAGAGAGGAACACTGCCATTGGCCTGGGCTAAGCTCCGCCCCCTCCACTTGCACTGGTTTGGCTAGGCCAACGCAAGGCATCATCATGGAGACCTGTTTGCTGTCAATCAAGCAGGAGGGGGAGGAGCTACCTCACAGAGGGGCGGAGTCTGGGCAGGGAGATGTGCAGAGGGTGTGTGTGAAGGAGGAAGAGGAAGCGAGGTCAGAGGTCAATGGAGAGGTGACCAGACAGCCAGGTGAGTCAATGAAGACCAGGACATGTTGCCCAGTGAGA